CTAGAAAGCTGCTGTATTAGTCATAATACTAATGTAATTCACTTCTGAATAGCTTGCTCTACTAAGCAGCTCACCAAATTCAATATATTTTTACAACTAGATTTGAACCTAAATTATCTGTGCTCAGCAGCAAATAATTAAATTAAATTAAATTACACTAGATTCTGCATATCTTAGTCTTGTATGCCTGAGTGTACCACAATTGCTGCACTTTAGTGGAGCTTATAACTGTGGCATATACTCTGGGGTATAAGATAAGAGAAATTGAATGACTGGCTGTTCAACAGACTAAGCAGAAAAAATAATAAGATTCTGAGCTTCTTCTTTAGTTAGATATTCTTTATGTTGAATTCTGTAGGTAGATCTCTTGTGTTTTTACTTTTCTTTCTTATTTGTGATAAATATATTCTGATATTACTTCTTCATAATAATGGCATTGATCATGCTGTATTCACAGACCTTAATAATTTGATCCAGATCTTTCTCTAGATCAGGAAGACTTTCAATCCTCTGTATTATAAGATACTTGATCTTCTTCTTCTGTTGATGCAATTGATGGGGATTCCTAGATGTTTGTGGAACTGAGAATAACTGAAAATTGCTAGCTTAACTAGCTGAAGAGCTAGATGTATGAAGCTGAATATCAAGCTGGTGAAGAACTTGATTTGATTTAAATAAAGTTATACTAGTAGCTCTAAAGCTGATTTGAATATTCTGAGATTTAAAGACCTTCTTATGTCCTGTAGAATACATCTCTAAAAAATCAATCTTTTTGATAATGTTGAATTCTAGCTGCATTTGCTGTTCAATTAGAGCTCTGTACACTTACTTTAAAACTGCAAAAACACTTACATCTAGAGACTGTAAGAGATGTGATGAATATGCTAGCATGCAAAAAGAAATAATCTTATTCTTACTGCAGATTTGAGTGAATTCAGGTGTAAGATAGCTGCCATGGCTATTCAGAATAAGAAGTATATAACTGCTGATCTGATGTAAATTTACTGTTGAAATAAATAATCTGATAAGCCATCTGATTTCTATCTTATCTGTAGTCCAGCTATTAGAACTGACATTCAATCTCCAGCCATCTGACAGCCCATCAAACCAGCCTTTCTGGATATTCTGATCTTTATGAATGATGTACAAAGGCAAGACCCATCCTGATACATTAACTAACTCAATCACTGTCACTCATTCTTGATTTCCAGACTGTAGAAGCTTTGCCCAGCCATAGTACTCAGCACTAGTAATGATCTTAGTAATTGCACAGAGTTTAATTGCAAATCCAGTCTTATTAAAGTTATAGATATTCTCAGTCTAAATCCTATGCTCAGTAATTATATTTTCTAAAGTCTTAAATCACTTCTGAATAATCTTTCTGTCCTCACATTTAGCTTGATTATAATTATAACACCTAGAATAGCAGTACTGGAGCTCCATACAGTGTTTAATCAGCTTTGACACTCAGTTTTTGCTAATATAGGAGGATTGGAGATGGAATACTGTAAAGTAAGAAGATGATTAGCCATATCCTTAACAAATGCTGGCTGAAGGGGTAATCCTTGTTTAGCTAGATCTAGGATCCACTGAACTAGCAGGTTCTCTTCAGTCTTTGTTGACTTGGCTGAATTTGCATGTAGGCTGGTTCTTGCAGGTCAGTCATTGAGTCAATAGTGTAGAGTTGAATATGGGACTTCAAATAAGTGAGCAGCTTCACAAATTGAGCAAACTTCTTGCTTTTTAATAGCAGATATCACAAGTTCAAGTCTTCCCTCTATTTCTATAGAGTTTCTTGCATTTTTACTGCGAATTGGTGGCATTTTCACGCGTTGAAATGGGCTAATTAGAAAATTGAAGATATTTTGATTTTGGTGAGCCGCTCGGTGGTGTGAGCCGCTCGGGGGTGAATTACGTTATAACAAATAATTTGTATCTTGCGTGGGGCACTCGCGGGCTCTCGGGCGTGGTCGCGCGAACGCTTCAAAGCGCGAAAGCGCGAAAGCTCGAAAGCGCGAAAGCTCGAAGGATGGAATCGGAAATAGGCTAGTGGTAACATGCAAGGACCACCATTTTGAAGCTCAGGGCCACGGGAAACGGTGGCACGTTCTATTTTCCCCATTTCGACGGAGTTCTCCGTACTCCGTATAACTAAAATCTAAAGTTTAGCTTAGATTAATAAGCTACAGCTGACTGCAGTAGGTTATATTAGGTTTAGTCTGGTCATGTGCCTGCTTGTAATGTTACATGGCGCTGAACATAAATTACATACATGGTGTGGTGAGCTCAGCACACTGTGGGTTGATCTGTACGCACGCTTGGCAAGGAGGCTCGCCTTGGAAACGGAGCATCTGGCATGGTAATAGTACCAAGCTACCCCCGTACTTCCCCTCAATATGGTATCAGTACTGAGCACAACGGGACGGGACCGTACTGTACCGTCCCAGTTCCGACCATCGGCCGACGCGATCCTGGCCCATTACCCTCGATAACGGCCTCTTTGTCGTCCAAGACATTGTTGGCCCTAGCCCCGGGCAGCAGTATTCTTTCAATCAAGTACAGAGTACTCCGCAGTCATCCTCAGATCACACCCAGTACGTCAAGATACGATAACCCCTCACTGTAGAGCCCAAAGGGGAAACGCTAAAGAAATAGTAGAAACCTCACGGCGGTCCATTCATAATTCATCCCTGCTCGGAAACGATATTCTCCATAACCGAGGAGAAATAGGTTTCCCAAGCCAGTAATTCCACAAGCGGCCAATCTCTGTGGTAAAAATATGATATCTGCTTAATAAACATGATTAGCAAAATTGGTTATGGCGATGTTGGAAATTTAGTAGCGTTAAGCAGTGAATATAAAATACAGGTCCAGCTGAAACTTACATCAGTTTCGGGAACCTCGCCCAACTCCGAAGCACATAAGCGTATGCCTGCCATACTACACGCCATTCCTCGTTGAATACATCTTTAACGCTCATCGCTTCCTCTTGCTGCTCGGAGTCTCGATTTTGGGCGTTGTTACCAGCTATCGCAGCGGTTTTACCTTCGGAACTAGCCCGAGGCTGTCGAAGTGTACGTGAAGGACTTGCATGTGCTGTCAAATGATCCGCGCCCGATTTGAGAGCCTTCTCAAATTTTTGAATCGCCGATACGCTATGAGAGACTCTTCCCAAAGTGTTAATCAAGGCAACCAGATCCGTTCTTCGAAGTAAACCGTTATTACTCTCGGGTCCATCAAATTCAAACAAGACCTTTAACGCCGTACCATATCCGGCAGTCTGAAGCTTTCCCCAGAGGCGACACTTGTCACATCCGATACAGTCCATCAGTCGACTGACGTTTCGAAAACGGTTACGAAAATCTTCCTTTAACGCAATCCCGCCATGAGCCTGAAACATGATGCTCTCATTAAAAACCTGAGGCCCAGAAGCAAGGGTATCGGTCAGCTGGGACATCCACTGCTTCGTTTCATGATCTTGCTCGGGATCATCGGCACAATAAGAGAAGTTTTGCAAGTGGTGCTGCAATTTGGCAACAGCGCGAGATAGAAGGGCAAAGTTAAAATAAAGATTAGATATCCGGTCTGGATGAGAGTGAAGTCTTTCCTTGTAGCACTGCAGGTTTGGCAACCATTCTCCCGTAGTCTGATTGAAATAATTCCAGCACAGATGAGTTGATATCGAGGCATGCATTCCGCTTATTAAGCGATAGAAAGCTCGTTTTTCCAAACATTCATCATCCACAGGATATCCTTCATTATGAAGGACAGCACTAACAGATTGTTCTCTTTCATGCTTTTCGAGCACATGTTGAAAACTGTGAGCAGCCTGCAATGCTCCAAAGTTCATCCTCTTTTGGGGGGGGAACCCTTGCTGGGACGGCTTGAGAAAACAGTTTTCCCGGTAAATTGCGTCCCAAACTTGCCAGGCACCTGGTCCAGAATAGCCAGTGAATCGTTCAGGATTATCAACCAAACTCACATAATCCCCTTTTCCGGTAGCTCCTTCATCCTCAGGTACGCAATAATCCCTTTCATCACATTCATCATCGTATTCCACCACACATGATTCACCAACATCTTCCCCAAGCATTCCTTGAAGGGGCTTTTTTTTTGGCCTTGCTCGTTGCTGTTCTTTGCCCGGGTGCCCAGCTTTAGGTCCTTCCAGCTTGCTCAACGCCTCCGCCCTCCATATGGCCGGAATATCGTCTTCGGACTCTAACGTACTAACAGCACAGGCAATGTTGCCACACATGCCAGTGTTATCCGACCAAAAGGGACATTTCTTATTAAACAGATTGAGGCGATAGTAGGAAAAAAAATCAGTATCTTGTGTGATCGATTTTAAAATTGGTGCAATCTCCGTATTAGCAGAATTCACCGTCGCAAAGGAGGCACACGTATCGGGAATAGTCGACTTGGAATCGATCTAGAATCATATCAGATGAGCTAGCGTATGCTGGGAGTAGGAACATACTGGACAATCATGGGGCAAATGCCACCGAAACGCAGGGACGTAGTTTTCGCCATTGACCGGCCGAAGAAAGGAGAATGCAGCAAGGGAAAAAAAATTCGCAACTAATCTCATTGTTGAATTTGGTAAAGAAAATGCCAGGTTGTTGGAGAGATCTATATGCTAACACTGCAATGATCGAATCTACTACAGCAAAATGTGGAGAAGTCGCTCAAACGGGGATTAAGAATAAATATGTGTAGTATTTAGCTCCTAAGCAAAGGTAACGACAAGAGATTTTAAAGGGGATATCGAATTATCACCCATTTTCACAGGCATTGTCCAAAATCAAATGATGGATCAATTGATGGGACAAAACTTGCTAGCTTTATGACTTTAATGCCTGTCATGGCGTGACTTTTGGGAAAGGAGACGTGTTCTTCCTCGCACAGCCGCAATGATGCCACAGGCCAATTAGTTTCGGGCTACTCAGGCCAGCATGGGGGTCCCTACGGAGTACTCCGTCCCTAGTGCCCGACAGATCTGCTAAGGATGACCAACACCTTTTTTTTTTTAGATCGCTCAAAAGCTCCAGTCCTTTTGGGGTTTCCTGAATGCACACACAAACCACAATAAATGGATTCAGTCTCCAGGGTAAAGCCCTTTTGCTGTCTCTTCAAGCGCAAATGGCCAGCTTTCAATCACTACTCTCCAACATTTTATAGTTGGTCTGGGCTGCCTGGTGTCAGACAGCCGCCATGTCGCTTTTTCGCAAAATCATCAGTTGTGAGACGGAAATTGGATCAAGAAACTCTTTGGCGACATAGAACAGACCACTTCTCCAGCGATTTATCGCAAGCCTTGATGGCACATCCCATGGTTTCTGCTGCAGATCTACGGTCGCGGCGAGAACGACCACGGGGAGTGAAGATGCTAACCCGGGACTTCATTGAAGGTACGAGGGGAATCCCGTCCACCCTATCGACCTTCCTATTTTGATGGCCTATTATAGATAGTCTGTACAACCCCTATTATGGCTATTTCTCCAAGCATGCGACAATTTTCACTCCCGGAGAACCTTTCGATTTCAATAATATCGACGATGGCCCAGCGTTCAACCGCCTGGTCGACCAAAGGTACGCCGAATTTGAAGACAAGCTGGATGCGGTTACGCCAAACCACACCCGCCAGCTCTGGCATACACCGACTGAGCTCTTTCGGCCTTATTATGGAGAGGCCATTGCGCGGTATCTTGTTACGAATTACAAGTTGACATTGTTTCCGTATCATGATCTGATAATATACGAAATGGGGGCGGGCAATGGTACCTTGATGCTTAACATTCTTGACTACATCCGGGAGGTTGACCCCGAAGTGTATCAGCGAACCAAGTTCAAAATAATTGAAATTTCCTCTCATCTCGCAGATACACAACAGAAAACCCTAAACGGATCGATCTATGACGATGGCCATCGTGGCCATGTTGAAATCATAAATCGCTCCATATTTGAATGGGACACTTACGTCCATTCCCCGTGCTTTTTCCTTGCCCTTGAAGTTTTTGATAATTTCGCGCACGATGCAATTCGATACGACCTGCAAACAGGCCAGCCTCGACAAGGATGTGTTCTAGTTGATTCCGATGGTGAATTCTATGAGTACTACGTTGCTAATCTAGACCGTTCTGCGTCTCGATTTCTGCGCATTAGACAAGCGGCTGCCCGCCGGCCATTCTCCACTCCACTACGTTCGCGCATGTGGAGGACTATCCAATCCTCGTTTCCATTCGCCGCCAACATGACATTACCAGAATACATACCCACAAGACTGATGGAGTTTTTCTACATATTACACAATTACTTTCCTGCCCATCGGCTTGTTGCTAGCGATTTTGACAGTCTTCCAGATACAACACCCGGTTATAACGCGCCTGTAGTACAAACACGATATCAACGAAGAACTGTTCAAGTCATGACCCCTTATGTAAGTGGGTCCGTCTTCAGGAACATTTTCGAGTCAAATCTGCTATGTAATAGCTTCGGGGCTTCTAGCTGATTATTTAACTAGGTCCACCAAGGCTATTTTGATATATTTTTCCCGACAGATTTCACTGTAATTGAAGATGTGTACCGTGCTATCACTGGGAAGTTGACTCGGCTATCCACCCACGAAGATTTTATGAGGCGATGGGCATATGCGGAGGATACACAGGCCAAAAGTGGTGAGAATCTGCTTTTAACATGGTATAAGAATGCCAGTGTGCTTGTTACAGTATGAAATCATCAGGTGAAAGCATACAAATGCGCAAGATATATTTAAGGCTTTAGTTATGGAGCGACTACCTCTAATAATCAAGAGGGAATCTGAATTGCCCCAAAAGGCTACAATTGTACTGGGCCCAGAGTAGCGCCGGAGGCAGGTCGCTTTAAGGACCTGCTTGACAGGGTTGAGTGAGAAGGGGGTGATGTATAGGTGAGGCAGGATACAGATCAGCTCCCAGTGTCCTGAGCTCATCACACATGGCTGAGTAAAAGTTCATCTGACCATCTGTAACACCATGTAACGTCTTTCACGGTGAACTCAGACACACAGTGAACTTGGACACTTTTGCATGTGACATAGTCTGATTTTTCAGCACCAATCAAATCTTGCAGTCTTCATTATCATACATTCATTTCACAGCAAAAATGAGTACAAACAGACTAGTTTTGACTGCTTCAGCAGTACAGGATCAAGAATTGAGTTAATAAAGAGCTGCTATATTATATAATGTTCCTCTTTCAAGTTTAAATAATTATATTTCTTGTCATACAAATAAAAAGATAGCTGATTCAAAGAAACAAAAATTATTAGTTTCTGAAGAAGCTGCTCTTATAAAATAGATTCTTTCTATAAATAAATCTGATGTTTCTTCTTGATATTCTACTGTACAAAGCATGACAGATCTTCTTCTTAAGAAACAGAGAGATAGAATCTCAAAAACTGTTGGACAAAACTGAACAACAATTTTTATAGAACAGTATTCTAAGCTGAAGTCTAGTTTTGTACAAAAATTTAACTACAAACAATCTCTTTATAAAGATTTAAAGATTATACAGAAGTGGTTTGATTTAGTAAAAAAGATTATAAAGAAATATAAGATATTGTCTGAAAATATATACAATATAAATGAGATTGAATTTGTAATAGGAATGATTTCTACTTGCATGATTGTTAATAATTCTAAAAGAAAAGACTATTCAAAGTTACTGCAGCCAGAAAATCAAGAATAGACAACAGTAATTATAGTTAATGTATCAGAATAAGCTCTGGCTCCAGTATTTATATTCAAGAGAAAGAATTCTGCTTTATATAAAGATGAAGTTTTCTTATTATTAGATTAAATTGTAAAATCTAGTTTAAATGACTGAACAACAGATAAGCTTAGATTTTTTTGAATCAAGAAGATTTTTGATAAGTAAACACAATATTATACAAAGAGCTGATATTGACTGCTGATTATAGATAGCTATAAAAGTTATGCTACTTCAAAGTTTAATTTCTTCTGTATAAAGAATTAGATTATTTTTCTCTACATGTCTTTTCATTCTTCACATCTTTGTCAGTTATTAGATGTGAGTTGTTTTGCTTTTTTAAAGCAATCATACAAACAGCTTGTTAAGAATTAAATTTAATATAAAATTAATTATATGAATAAGATAAACTTTCTGTCTTTATATTCTTAAGCTCATGGCAGCATATTCTCTAAGCAAACTATATAAAATAAATTCAGAGCTACTGGATTGATTTCATATAATCTGTTCAAACTCTCACTATTTACTCTCTCTTAATATAGCATCTCTTATGATTCTCTAAGCTCTTGAACTTCTTAAACCCCAAACAATACTAATAATATTTAAAGATAATTTATCAGACTCTAGTATTAATAACAACTTCATACAACACCTGTCTCAAGTCTAATTAACTGATTTATAGATAGGCTTTTCTATAACTATAAGAAGCTTATGATTGAGAATATTCTGCTTGTACAAGAGAATATAAAGTTTTATACAGCTAATGGAAAACAGCAACAGGAGACAAGAAGAAGTACATATATTTTTCAGAAAGATACAGCAAAACATCTACAGAAAGATAATAAAAAATCTGTATAAGAAACTTGTAACTTTATTTAAGTAGCTAGTGAGAATATTATATAAAGAAATAATAATGATTCTGTGCAGAAAGATAGTAAGAACTCTGTACAGATAATAGATAAAAACTTTATATAAAGATATACTCTTAAATACTGTAGTATATGTTAAGTTCTTGAGTATACTGCTTATATATACTCTTATTGTGGTTAGCTCCATACAAAGTATTACTGAATATAGTGAATAATAGACTAGCTTATTTAAGAATCTTATAATATTTTTTTTCTTCTTTTTTTTCTTTTTTTTTCTTTTTCTTCTTTTCTTCTTTAATCTATTATTACATTAAATATGTATGTACAAAGCTTTATACAAAGCTCAGGTAGATTAATACATTAATAAAATATAAAGCTAATTAATTCTTTGTATAATATGAAGCACTCTCTCTTCTTAATCTCTCTGGCTCTTAGAGTTTCTATCAAATTCTCTTCATTACTGGTCAGTAATTGAGTTTTTTTGCTTATAGTTCACAGGCTAGAGTGGTTCTAGCTCTTTCAGAGCAGAATGTTTTTTTTGTATATGATAGTATAAATGAATATCAGATTTTAAGTCACTAGTCTTTGTATATAAATGCTATTCTTATCTAATCACATGAGTAGCTGAAGATACAGGTCTGTATTACTTGCTGTAATAGTTCAAATCTTTATTTATTTTCAGAGTGCTACTGATTACCAGGCTACTTTAGTGGAGCATGTAGTAACTGCAAATAGTATAATTATACTAGCTGCTGCTCTGTACAAGATGAAGAGGATACAGTGGAGATGATAAAGATTGTTAACTCAGATAAAGAGAATGGCTCTTAACAGTCTGGTAAGTGTTCTAGAGTCTTGATTACAGATGGTTCAACACCATCTTTTGCAATTCTTATTGAATAACTTCTGGTATGTATAATTTTTTTTGTTTCTGTTTTCAAGTTCTTTCTCCAGAGCGGGCTAGATATGTATGATTTCATTTACTCCAGTTATACAGAGCTTGTGTATGATATCTAGATATAGCTTGCATATCTATATGATTATTATGAATGTAGATCTAGACCAACCAAGTATTAGATGTAAGGATTTGCCTGCAAACCTCTTACACAGACAAACAACACCTGCAAGGTTCCAGGGCCTCAGCTTGCAAGCTGTTGGAAGTACATGTGTTCTTGTAAGACACTAAGTCACATGCTCACAAGCACACATAAAAGGCCACCACTGTATGAATCTCTTGTTAGAAGCCAGTGGCAATCTTGTCTACAAGTTGTATATAGTTGCCAATACTAGATCTTTTATCTTGTGTACTCTTTTTCATGTACAATTCCTTCTATAGATTTATTGTTATGCTGATTTATATGTATGATCCTCACATTTTGCCACTCTTCTTTGATGACACCTGATAATGGTATTAACATGAAGAAGCCAACTCTCTGAAGCTTGTGAACCTGGAACACCAGCAGAAAATCTACCTGAAGAACAAACCCAAGTTCACAAGAAGATGACAAATCTTGAAACTATCTCAGCTCTCTCAACTGTAGATGAAATCAAAACTAGCATCACAATCTTAAAGAAGAGAAGTGCTTTAAGTGTGGCTAAAAGAAGCATCTTGTGAAAGACTGTTCCAAGAAGAAGAGTAGCAAATAGGAAATTGGGAGGCTGTAAGTAGATAGAATTAATATAATGAAGTTGTTCAAGAAAAGTCTTCTTGCTCTCCCCTCCATTGTTCTAGACATGCAAAGTCTAACTGACAGAAGTATCATCTGGTCAGTACTAATAGACTCTGGTTGTCAATCTCTAGTGATTAGTTTGTGATTGGCTGCAAAGCTAGCACTAGAGATGCACAAGATATCTATAGAGATTGAAACTGCTATGAATCATGAGAATGTCATTCTCATGAAAGAGATTGTAAATATATTCTTTAAAGTCTGTGACTTTCAGAGAAACTGGCAGTTATTTCATAAACAAGTAATGATTGCAAACATAAAAGATGAGATGCTAGTAAGTTTGAGCTAGCTGCAGCAACACAATCTCAAGATGTGTTTCAGAGAACTAAGACTAGAGTTTCAAACTGTGTATCACAACTCACTTGTGAAGATTAAACCAGTTAATCTCTCAGAGCTAGTAAAGAAAGAGAAGCCCATTTATATAATAACTCTCTGTAAATCAGAACAGATGATAACAGCAGACCTAGATCTTCAGATACTGAAAGCCTACTATGAACTTGTGGAAGTGTTTAGTGACAAGAGAGCTTGAAAGCTGCCACCACACCATAAAGATAATTTGATCATAGATCTTAAGCCAGGGAAGCAGTCAGAATTTGGAAGAATATATAAACTTTTACAAGCTGAACAAGAGACTTTTTGTGAATATCTGAGCAGTACTTTAACTTATGAGTTCATCTGTTTTTTCAAGTCATCTACAGAAGCATCTATTCTGTTTATATTTAAGAAGAACAGTAGACTAAGAATGTGTGTGAACTATTATGATCTGAATTCAAAAACAGTTAAGAATAGATATTCTCTATCACTGATTGAAGATGTGTTGTATAAGCTTGTGGAAGCTATAATATTTACTCAGTTGGATGTCAAGAATGCCTACTATAGATTGAGAATTTGTAAAGAGAATGAGTGAAAGACTGCATTTTAAACTCTACAGAAGCTATTTAAGTACTTGATAGTGCTTTTTGAACTCACAAATACACCAGCAGTCTTTCAATTGTACATCATAAAGACACTTAGTGAATATCTGAATGTGTTCACAGTGGCCTATCTTAATGATGTGGTTATGTACTCAGCTCACAAGAAAGATCATAAGAAGCATGTGAAATTGATACTTAAGATACTCAAGAATGCAGGTCTTTATTGCAAGCTGGCAAAGTGCAAGTTTAATACTTATGAGATTAATTATCTTGAGTATATCATAACATCAGAGAGTGTTCTTATAGAGAAGAGCCACATGAATACTATTCTTAACTGGCCAGAGTCAACTAGTAAGAAAGAGATCCAGATCTTTTTAGAATTTGTGAACTTTTACAGACACTTCATTTCAAGATTCTCTAAGATAGCCTGTAGTCTGACTGCTCTTCTAAAGAAAGAAGAAGCAAAGCTAAGCAGATATATGTGAAGAGAGATAAGAAGAGAGACCAACACTTTCATAACTGAGAAAGGTCATGAAGTCTTTATAGATCTGAAAAGAGTATTTGTGGAAGCTGTTATGCTTTACTATTTTGATATGGAATGAAA